TCGCTGTCAGTCTGTCGACATTTTAACAGTGCAGTGATGTCAGCATGATAGCGTGACACTGATTTTGCGAACTCAATATGTTCCTCTCAGATGCGTGTTCATGGGCATTTGTGCCCTATCGAGCAGGTTCTTTCGTTCCACCTGCAGCATAAAAATTTCCACTCTGGAAGCAGCAAGAATGCACACGCAGCCCTCTCGTGCTGCTCGTTTCGTTTTTATCAAATATTATATACATATTTCGCTTTTATCAAAAATACGAGCAGGTGGTCACGAGGGGTGCTCGCATCATGGCGGCAATAGAGTAACTGTATATAGGCCCCTACAGAACCAGTGTAGCGCCACTGTTTTCCAACGCCGCCGGCAACACGAGCAACTAGGCATTGCGGACTAACTGACGCTCAGGCCAATTTTGAGTGTACCGACGCCGCCGCGGCATTGGCGCGAATCATCGCCAGTTAAGTTCAAAGCGAATGCGGCTGGTCTTCGCGCATTTTCTGAACGCGGTTCATGAATGCGTACCGGTGACTCTGGATCACCTTTATGTGCGCACCAGGTCTGCAGTTCTGCCATCACAGCCATCGGAATGTTACAATGACTGGTTAAACCGGTAAAAGTCGTTTTGTCAGTTTTATCAGCTGCTGAGGGCTGCTTCGTTAGTAGTGTACATGCTAAAACAGAACTACACTGTTCTTTGTTGCGCATTTATACCTTTTCAAAAGGAGCCTGATTGCCTATCCTCATGAAAAGGAAACATATTTATTCGCCACTGACGTAGATGAAAGGGTGGTATTGAATGCGCTGAATTTTACAGCGAAAGCTTCTGAGTTAACAAGGGCCGAATCCAGCACCGTAGATGTTCGCTGCCGCCGGTGTCTGACCACTATAGCATGAAATTGAAAATAACGTAAAAAAGCATACGTGTCGCATTTGGTAATCGAACCTGTGTCTTTTGCGCGGAAGACTTTCATATTTCTGATTTACGGCGTGCAAAAGTGCAAAAAAAAATATGCTTCGAGGCATATATTGGAACGCCAACCTAAATGGAGTGAGGTGCCTCATGGAGAAAGGTGACGCTAGGCGAAATAGCGAAGTTATAGAGAGATTCAGTTATAGAGAGATTAGTCACATCATGGGTATCCATTTATATCGGAATACCCGGAGACTTATTGCAAGACAAGAAACTTGAACTTGGAAATGAACTGTAAACTGACTTTATGTAAGCTACATAACGGGCAAGAATTTGCGTTTACATGTGAAATAAATCATTTTAGAACTGTGCAGTAACAACTGTGTGCCACGCAACGCTATTTTGTAAAAACTGCACCGTTATGCTTTTACGCACTACAAAAGCCTAAGGCATAACTCTTCTTTGAGTAATATTCACCCAGACTAGTTGGGTAATTTCGTGTACCGTCAAGTTCAATTAATGTCGCATTTCACCAGTGTAACGTAAATACTGAATGTTTCCGCTCATTATCTGGTCAAAAATTCCGAAATTTGCGAAATGTGAAAGTCGCAATACAAAGGAAGTTGATAATGTTCGCTGAAGAACGTCGCTTTTTTTTTACCACGCTATTTAGTCAGCTGTTCCGTTGCACTTTGTTAGCAGTCTGGCAGAAAAGCGCCCTTCAAGTACTGCAAACAATGCGTGAAAGACTTGCGTCAAGTATGTCATTAGGCAACACGCCAAAAAAAAAAAAAAACACGGCTGTGGTGTTGCCTGCAAGAACAAAGGGCGACTTCACCGCACAGCTGTGTTTGCTAGCCAAGCAGGATGGCGGACCTATGCGCTCCTCTGGTCCCTTAGACACCTTATACAGCGGTTCTAGGTGGCAACGAAGCTGTAAGTGAATACATCGTGGGCGCGGTAAAATTGAATGCGAGACATCGTAGCCGCGTGATGGTACCAATTCAACTTCTGCTTGCCTGCGTGCATAGTTTGGGCGACAGAGTTGATAAATTAATCGTGCCGCTCGACGTGAGCACTGCTCCTTGGCAAGAGCAAAATTGGTGGGCGTACCTAAGCTCACTGCGGGCATCTGTCAATCGATTGACGCGTGAACTTGGTGACAAATTCGTTGATTCTGGATAGGCCCCTGTTCAACTCGTGACTGTCGTGGTTCCGGTCTGACTGTGAAGCTTTTCATGCTGTGGGCGTCAAACAGCAGCTTCCTTGCATATCAAATATTTTGGTCAGCTTGAACTATTTGTGCAAGACTAGAGCCATAGAGAAACTTGTCATATTCTACAGCTTCTTCCAGGTTGTTGGGGTGAAGCTTCCTAAAGTGGCACTGACAAATCGTTTCTGATAAATCATTTAGCTGCGAGAAAGCGCTTGTCTTCTCTTTTTTTCTGTTTATTCGTGAGCTTTGAACGGACAGTTATATCATGAATATCCAACTAGCCCAACTTTCGATTCTGTTGCACACGGACACCTCTTGCGTTCCTGCAGGACGCGAACCGCGTCGAGAGGGCACGGCAATGAGAGTCTCTCGCAGGCCGGATCCATGCATTGCCAGTCATAACAAGCCAAACTGCTGATTAAACTCGTTGAAGGGTACAAAATATTGCTCATTGTGCAGTGCAAGCAGCTCAGAAAGCTTATCGGAGAGTACTATGAGCTCGTTCCAGCTAAAAAGCGCTGCGATTGCAGTGGATGATTCGGAGAACTAGCTGCAAATACGAACATCGCAGCACTCACACATTTGACGGCTCGCTTTCCATGCCATCATGATGGCGCTAGCTATCCCACGCTCCTCTGCGAAGTGAAACTGACGAAAATCTCACCGTCAGGTGGCGTATTTATGGAAATGGTCTATACCATGAACTCGAGGTGGCTAAAGGTGGAAAATAGACAAGAAGCGCAAGCCGTAAGAAAGTGTGCGTGTGCCACCTCTCGTTTAGTCCTTGGAATGTCCGTTCGATGGTGGTGATTCCAATTGATTGATTGATATGTGGGGTTCAACGTCCCAAAACCACACATATGAATATGAGAGACGCCGTAGTGGAGGGCTCCGGAAGTTTCGACCACTTGGGGTTCTTTAACGTGCACCCAAAGGTGAGCACACGGGCCTACAACATTTCCGCCTCCATCAGAAATGCAGCTGCCGCAGCCGGGATTTGAGCCCACAACCTGCGGGTCAGCAGCCGAGTACCTTAGCCATTAGACCACCGCGGCGGGGTGGCGGTGCTTCTATAGTGGATTATATAATGAAAGGATGCGAGATGGTGGTACTTCGAGTGTTGACTAGACAGACGAACGGACACATAGAAAGATGCATGGACGGACGCACGGATGGCTATATGAATGGATGGACGCATGGACGAACGCACGGAGAGACGTGCGGATGCACGAACATACTTCGCCCCACTCTCCATCATTGACCCCGTGGATATGCTGCCATTTCTTAAGTGTGTCGTCAACTTATATGCTGGGTCTGCTTCGAATTGATTTGTTTGATTTATATGTGAGGTTTAACGTCCCGAAATTCTATATTATCAAGAGAGACGCAGTAGTGAGGGCTCCGGAAATTTCTACCACTGAGGTTTTTTAACGGCACCTGAATCTGAGCACATGTACAGGCCTCAAGCATTTTCGCCTCCATCAAAAATGGGGCCGCCGCCACCTGGATTCGATCCCACGACCTGCACGTCAGCAACCAACTACCGTAGCCACTAGTCCACCACGGCGGCAGATATCCCGGGCTCAATCGTCAAGGTCATGATCAGGATGGAGCTATCAAACGCAACTCTGCGTAGAATGATACTTATGATCAAATTAAGGGCTAACTAGCAGGCTTAAGTCAGCCAGGTGATATTTTTACATAGCTTCATTAGCATGGTTTTCTTAAAATGTGGCGTAATTACCTTGGCTTTACCGTGACTTGGATAATTAGCTTGGTCATAGCATGTCCCGGCCCGAGTAGCCAAAGATACTGCCAAGCCAAATAGCTAATTTGTTGGGTGCACGTGCTTAGGTGCTAGCAGACGATGAAAAAGACGAATGAGGCACGCACTGACTGAGCAGCGTGCTATATTCTGCAGGCAGACCATGGATATTCACACGTGGCCTTGGTTTTAGCTGCGGTCGTAATGTGAAATGTATAAACGGAAAGATAGCCGTCAATGAGGAACATAAAAAATGCTTCTTTTTAAATTATGTAATGCTAAAGCTTGCAGTATGAAAATAACTTGATATTTGCTTTCGATTTATCTGTATAGGTGATTTTTCTGTGGACCACCACATGGTGCAAATTGCGTCTAAATATTGATAAAGATGACAGTGTTGTCAAATTCGTAATTTTTTCCCGTAAAGTTTGAATGCTTGATAGGCCTGGAAATACTTTTTCCGCACAGTACGCTTTTTGTGGAGTAAGGATTTGGTGCTCTGATATTCATCAGAGTGCAGTGTTGCAACAAAAAAATTTCAAACCTAACACATTTTGGCTAAATCTTTGGAGGCGTATGTGGCAGAAAAAGTGCACTAATATTACTGAGCTTCAAACAGCTCACACAAGAGCATTTACCTAACATGCAGACCATATAGTTGGTTTTAAAAAACACTGCTTTTAAAATGATTTTTTTTTCACAAACAACACCCAAACGACATTTTGGAAAGTTCAGCAGCCACTCGCATGACAAAAAGCTTTGTTTTCCAAAATATTCTAGCAATCGGCTGTTTCTAGTGCAGTGAATTAGCACAATATTTTAAAGATGCATCTGAGATGGTAGCCAGAATGGCTGGGATGTTTGGTGTGAAATGACCCACTTGCGAAAGAAAAAAAAGACGCATTTGTACAGCTAACGGCTAACGCCTCATGAGAGTGACAAGAGAATGAGTCTGATATAGAAATAATGTTAGGCATCTGCAGCTGATGGCCACTCATTGCATCAACGCATTTCGTTCGTTACTGCAATGACATCGTTCGATTGACCCAAGAATATGTTTCCTGCGATTTATCAAGGCACAGTATATAGAAAGTAGTGAGAACACAACTCACTTCAAGAATTTATTGATGGCGGACTTGGTACATTTTGAATATGTGGCCTTTGTTTCTGCACCCAGGGAAGGAGCCATTATATGTCTCTCACTTGCAGGGCACTTTTTTGCTTTACCGCTGCCATCATGTGGAGCACCCAGTCTGAAAGAAAATGCATCAGGTATAAGATAAGTTCTCACCCCAAAGGTACACATCGTTTTTGTGAGTGCAAGGCCATGAGAAACTAACGCATTTCAGAAGTTTTTGGTGTGAAGTTGTTGATAATGCACCGTTGTTATAATAGTCTAAAAGACATTGTAGATATGACTGTTGTGTACTTTTCTTTGTATTACGACAGTGTTAGAAGATAACATAAGAAGAGCGGATCAGAGGCACAGTTTGGTATATTATTTATTGCTTCGGGAATGACCTTGAAACGTTTCGCCTGTAAAAATTCTAAACATCCTAAACAAATAACCCAAATGAACAAAACTTTCTTTATTTTCGTCAGAGAAGCATTTGTTTTCGCAACAATTTACACTTTGAAGGCGCTGTTTTAGTATACACTGGGAAAACATCTTCAATAATTTTTGAAAGTATAACTTTTGTTTACTTTTAAGGCAAACACTTCCACAAAAATTGTATAATGCGAGCATAGCTTTTACAGTGGGAACCTATTTATTTACCAACACATAATCGGAAACATCGTCAGGGCAGAAGAAAAATAGTGCAAGTGAATACATTAACTACATGATAAAAGCAAGGATTCATAAATTGTTACAACGTGAAACAATTGGCACGTTTTGAGGCGTACGTATCTTCACAAACTCGCAAACACTCGTCTCGCAGCATATTTTGAAACGAGAATAGCACAGTTCACATCAACCCGGCAACAGATTTCAGGTGCTTGTAGTGTCGCACGGTTCAAACAATGAAGATGGCCGCAACAAGACTGGGAAATAGGCAGCTCGTTAGTGGGCTCTGTGGTTGCCACGAAATGAACATTCAAAATACGTGCGCATCACACTGTACACTGAGAGCTACAAAAACAGTTGGGGGTCGTTGACTTGTCTCATCTGATGCGGTAAGGCGCGCCCACATCTATACATGAGGAACCAAATATTCCGGCCTTACAGTTGGTGGCAAAAGTAGTTAAAAAGTCAACAAGACTGTTCTCGTCAACAGTTCAAGCTTACCGCAAAGCAATGAATAGACTAGAAGGTCTCAAGGCACTGGGTCGCAGTTAGCGCAAGGAAGTCGTGTCTTACGGGCCAGTTTCATGAAAATTTTAAAAAGAGCGCTTCTGTCATTACGTATGTAGCGGGAAACATTATCGCCTTGTAACACAATCAAAAATGCTCAGAAAACTGTTCCCAGCAACACTAACTTTTTCTTTCGTGCTTTAATAGCCCTCGCTGTAAAATAACGTAAACAATTGTATGAGCGTTCTCCTAGGTTGAAATTCGTTAATGCAAACTCAAAGTGGACCATAGTATTGTTCAAATCCAGCGGAGCTCAAATTAGCGGACTGGTGCTACAATCAACGGGCGTCGCAACAACCTGCGCGTACAGACCCCGCCGGGGTGTCTGCGCAAGCAGGCGTCTGTGTGGTATGTAACGACACCACGGACCCAAGCTAAAGTGTGGGTGGGGGGGGGGGGGTTTGCCCTTTCCCACACCTAGTCGTGCGTGGCTGAGCCGTGTCCGGGGAAAAAAGAATTCCGGGGCTTTGAGCCGATCCCGGGTGATCGGACCATTAAGGCCACCCAGGAAGGCAACACAGTCTTTTGGCCCCGGCTTCACGTACACGGCACCCCTGCGCGAACGAACCAGGGGAAATCGGCAGTCGCCTTTTCCTGTCTCTCTCTTCCCTCATCTTCGTCTTTCTCGCACACTTTTTATCTGTCCTGTCGTGTTCTTTCTTCCATTTACTTCCGAATTTCCTGGCAGCCAGGGTTAACCTTGTGTAGATATCTAACCTTGGGTAAATACATTAGAATACAGCGGCGATGCCTGGCTGGCGTCTTCAAGTATTTGTGATTCTAAAGGCTCTAAATGAAAGAAGTTTTCTAGGTAGTGTCACTTCTTGTTTTCGATGCTGTCCTCCTCAGTCTCTCACTTACCCATCCTTTTTTCTGCCATCCCCGTCTGTAATTGGTTCATTCCTTGCACGTGATTTTCAATATGGCTGGCGGTGTTATTTATTATAATGCAAGAGATTCAAAACGAGTACGAATGTGCATATCGCTCCAGCTGGATTCTCGCCGTGACCAAAGACGAAATTGTAGCCGCGAAATGAACTGAAGAGGAGGAGAGTTTCAGTTGGCGCCAAGTCATCCATGATTGTTTCGTGGAGCTCGTTCAATAAAATATCTGAGTTTTAAATGCGTAGCATTTCTTAGCCAACTTTGGTGACTTTGAGTGTATCGAGCTATCTAGCCGCCTACGCCTTTTAGCTCTCATGGCCGTTTCGATAATGATATCGATACCAAACTTGGTATGGCATAAAATGACAGTATGAAAAACACAATTGACTAGTGATAACAAGAAAATCGTAATATGTAGGTCATGAATGTCATGGTTCATATTTCATGGCCCTGCAGCTCTTGCGGTAGTTCCGTTCCCATGGCAAGTTGCAAAACTGGTATGGTATGTCATGATTGCATGGCGAACACAAACGACAGACCATAACATGAAAATCATGATATGCGTGCCATGTAACAACATGACTACATGCCAAGGCTCATGATGCGCTCGTGGCCTTTTCGCAAGGGTCACGCATACCAAGTTTGATATTACGGTACGTGAATGGCTGACAAAGGTATGTGACTTATGCAAACATGATAAACATGACATGCGTGACATGTAAAAACATGACTGCGTGCTACGCTCATGATGCGCTCACGGCCGTTTCGTTAGCTTCACATATGCCATATTTGGTATTAAGTGACACGAATGAATGATGAAGGTATGTGGCTGGTGCAAACATGGTAATCATGAGATGCGTGTCAATAACAACATGACTACATGCCACGCTCGTGATGCGCTGGTGGCCGTTTCGCTAGCTTCTCTTATACCAAATTTGGTATTACAGGACGTGAATGAATGACGAAGGTATCATACTGGTGCAAACATGGTAAACATGAGGTGCGTTTCATGTAACAACATGAATACATGCTACGCTCATGATGCACTCACGGCCGTTTCGCTAGCTTCAAATGTACCAAACTCGGTATTACGTGACGCGAACGGACAACATAGGTAAATGACGCATCCAAACATTATAATCACGGCATGCGTGTCATGTGACATGACTACATGTCACACTGATGCGCTCGCGGCCATTTCGCTAGCTTCATATATGCCAAACTTGATATTACGTGACGCCAATGGCTGATGAAGGCATGTGACTGGTGCGAACATGATAACCATGAGATGCGTGTCATGTGAGAACATGACTACATGCCACAGTTAAGACGCCAATACATGTCGACATGACGTGGTGCGCGTGTTCGCCGGCATTCGTTTCGTCGCGTCACGCCTGCGTTTCCACGCCAGGCGCCGGTCCTGCCATATACTCGCAGGTGGTGGTGGTGTTAAAAAACATTTATTTCAGAAAAAGTCTGCTAGAGAGGGCCGACGTGGCCCATCGGCGTTCTAGAGTGGCAAGACCCTATTCCGGGACGCCAGTGGAGCTGGAAGCTGCCCGTGCGCGCTCCACCAAGGAGCGTTGTGCCGCCAAGGTAGAGCAGCCGAGCAGGTGCTTCTCCCAAGCCTCTCTAGTTGGGATAAGAAAAGGGGATGAGAAAGGCACAGGATTAACTGGGCACGATGCTACGACGTGATATGTGTCGGCGAGGACATGACAGGTCGAGCAGGTGCTATTAATTTCCGGCAAAAAGTGCCTGGCGACCGCCGGACTGATAAAGGTATTCGTCTGCAGGCGGCGTAGCAGTCGTTCGTCCGCTTTCTCCACACCGCGTGCAGGGTCCGGGTAGAGGCGGCGCGAAGCCCGGTAATAAGCCGAAATTTCGCGAAAGCGCGTCAGGTTGGTATTGCCAGATTCCGTCTCGGGACATGGAGGGGCAACGGCCCGGACAGGAGAAGCGCGGGCAGCGGCATTTGCCGCCTCGTTGCCGGGCAGGCCCGAGTGGCCTGGGGTCCAGAATATACGAATGGGATGAGGGTTAAAGCGCCAAGAGGCTGCCTGTAGTAGGCTAGCCGCCAGGGGGGCAATGGATCCCTGAAGGTACTGAGAACAGGCCGAGCGCGAGTCCGTCAGGATGGTGCGTGAGGCAGGGTGAGAGACGGCCAAAGCTATGGCAACCTCTTCAGCGTGCGTTACTGTGTCTGCTCGAAAGGAGAGGCCATCTACGTGTTTGCCCTCTGTAATCACGGCAGCCGTGAATTGACCCGAGGAGAAGGGACCCGAGACGTCCACGTAGAAAACACCAGGACAATCGGAGTGTCGCGTATGAAGGGCTGCGGCACGTGCTAGGCTACGGCCAGGATGGAGGTCGGGGTTCATATTATGGGGTAGAGGTTCCACCCATAGCTTTTGACGCCAGAGCTCTGGTACCGGCTGCAAAGGGTCTTGGTCAGATATCGGGTTAAAGTCAAGTCTGTGTAAAAGACGGCGCCCTGAACGCGTCTGCGGCAGTCGATTGATTTGGTTAACGCGATGAGCTTCGCGCATCTCTGCAAAGGTGTTGTGTACCCCCAGAGCCGCGAATTGGCTGTTGGAAGTTGCAATGGGTAGGTCCAGAGCGCGTTTGTATATTGAACGAAGAAGGACGTCCAGCTGGTGCTCGTGTCGACGACGCAGGCGAAGGTAAGGCAAGGCGTAGAGGACGCGACTGGTCACAAACGCGTGGGCAATTCAGAGGGACTGAGACCCGCGGAGGCCGCCGCGCTTGGTAGAAACTCGCCGTATCATGCGGCTCACCTGTTCGCTGGTGCATCTGAGGCCTGCTATTGTGCCCTTTGAATCCAAGGACAATGTGAAGTGAAGGCCGAGATCCCGAATATTTTGCACTGACGGGACGGGCCCGGACGGAAGAAAAATTTGTGGCGGCGGTAGCGGAGAGACTGAAAGAAGAGCCGATTTAGCTGGAGAGCACTCCAGGCCGCATGAACCTGCGTAGGTGTCCACCAGAAGGGCA